CTAGATGGGTAATGAAACGTCTGCAAGAAAACAACCAAGCTCAGAGAACCCCAAGGACTCCACAGTTCAACCCTGAGCTACAGAGATTCTCTTCTGCTGGTTTCTCTCTACCTTATAAAAAATAGAATCAAGATGGGGTAAATTTGAGGTTTGTTCTCATGCTTTCCATTTTCCAAGGACTGACTGCCATTTCTCCTCCTTTAATGGTTTATCCATTCCTTCCCCAGGATCATCTCTATATTCCTTTACAAATACAAGTTTCGCCAAAAGACAGTTTTAGCATCAGATGTTTTTTTCAGGCGTGTCCACAACGTACACAATGTCCAAGAGGTTTAAAGGTAGGAGCTGCGAACCCAGCTCATTTCTTTGCTGGTCTGATCAATAAAGCCACAGGCTGTCATTATTCAGCATTATAGCATACAGCATAGCCCAAAGATAGCTGATATATCCCCCTTGCTGAAGCGAGGCAGGTCTGGCTTGTCTAGAGAGAAGATGACCTGTGGATAGTAGATGCATGTATATGGAATAACATGCACAAATAAACTCCAGATAACTCTAGAATCCATCCAGAACCTCAGAAACATCCCCCAATTGGGATATCCTGCATAAATTTGGGATTAAACCTGTAGCTTTCCCTCAGCCTGATCTACTGAATTGGCCTTCTCCATCTGGATACCTTCCACAAATGGTTGGACTACGATGACTGGCTAAAGAAGGTAGAACGTCTAATAATAGGAAGAAAAAGCTTATTATAATTGGAAAAATTGCAAAATATCGGGACTTGCAGATCAAAGTTGAACACTTATGGAAAAAAAAAAAGATCCGCTGCTACACCAATCGTGATTAGAGCCCATGGAGCAATACCTAAAGGACTTCCCCGATATTTGGAAATTTTGAATTTATTGGACCTGGACACCCTAATTTTGTAAAAAAAAAAAAAAAAAAACTTGCTTGGAACTGCCTATATCCTCAGATGCTACCTTAATAATTCTAAGGTTCTTGGTTAGGACTTGAATTATTAAGCTTCCACCAGTCTTTGACTGTGAATATAATTGCAGATAACCAATAATAATAACAACATCTGCCTATCCCAGGTCCTTGGGAAGGACTCGATAGGTAGATAAAAATGCCAAATCCAGTCTAAACATCTGGCTGATTGTGCAACCAACAACGACGATAATAGCAGCTCCTTTGAGTCAAGCTTGACTCTTAGTGATTTGATGGACATGTCCATGAAGCTTTTGTGGCTACAGTATGGAAATGGTTTGCCATTGCATTCTTCCAGGATGTCCAGTATAGCTGACAGTCCTGGAATTCCTGGTGATCCCTCATCCAGGCCCTAAATAGATCTGATCTTAGCTTTAGGGGATCAGCCAAGGTCACCTAGCTTCTGCCAGATGCTATTACACAGAAAATATTGTCCAATGCATGGAGGCCACCAAGTTGAAGAAAGGTGCATTGCAGCCTGATTAACCTGGTTTGGTTTTCTGGTCCCACTAGGCGATTGGAAGAAGGCAATCTCAGTGAAATAAGAACTAGCCAGCAACAGCCTGGAGGCCAGACATGGATGCAGGAAAATGCCCTCTAGATCTGGAAGCAGTTACCATAATGTGGGATGATGCTCCAGGCCATGACCGAGGCGTACAAACCACCAATCATCCA